AGCCCCGGCGTGGCACAGCGGCGGTAAGCGGGTGGTTTCGGCTCATCCCCGGTTGGTTTCCAAGAAGTACTGTGGCATTCCCGCAGGCATGGCACTGCTGCCGCTCCGGAGAACAGACCTGACCCAGTCTCACATCCCTGAAATGCTTTGCCGGAATGGTTTCATGTAAAATAAGCTGGAAACGGTTAAAAGGCTGCACTGGGGGAGGCCATGGGAGGAGGAGGAGGGCGGGAAGGTGCCCGGCTCGGAAGATGGGCAGCACCTCCTAACCGTCCTCGCGGAGAAACGACCTTCTCATTGCTCTTAACATATTCCCAGCTGGGACACAGCCCTAGATCTTGCACATCGCATCATATGCTGCAACGTGGTCCCCGTCCCTGGGCACAGCTGTGAAAGGAGGAGCGGAAAGTGTCTCACCGCTGGAAACCTAAGAACTAAGCAAGGAGTAGCTTGTCCACCTTGTTTCTTGTCCACCTTTCACATCCTACTCTGATCCCACCAGCTCAGAAACAGAAAATCCACTGAATTGGGACTTTTTGTATTGGACGGAAGGTCACAAATTTCCGAGCGCATGTTTTAGAGCCTTCTGGGCTTGTTCCCCAGGGAAAGGCAGGCTTCACCTCCACCTCAGGCACGTCACGCTGCTGGTCCTGCATTGCAAGGTGACAGCATGTTGGAGCCATGGGGACACCAGTGCTGTGGCCTGCAGGCCAACCACCATTAATTTTTCCAGCAGAAGAGTAGAAATTTTTCTGGCAGAGCTTTAAGTTTAAATGGTTCCTGCTTAATGCTGCTCTGCAGTGGCAGTTCCCATCTCAAAATGGCTGGCACCAGCACAGGCAGGGTGGGCATGGATGCGCAAGAGCATGAGATGCGGCCAACAGGTATTCAGATCCATCACAAGGCACCAGACATGCTGCACTCACACTGGTCCCCAAGACACTCAGGGTCTTGCCGTGGGCCGGCTCAGCCTCCTTGTGTCTGCTGGAAGAACCAGTGGCCAAAAGTGCCATTGCCCACGGCAAACTGGTGCCTCCTCATCCTGCTCTTCAACGGAAGCCACGTCCTCCCAGCATCAGCTGCCTGAAGTGGGGGTTTCAGCAGATGGAAGCCTCGCTTACCAGCTAACACCAGTTGTCCGAAGAGTGGACCAGAAAAGCTGGGCAGAACATCCCATGAGTTCTCCCATGGCTTGGGATGCCACCACCCACAGTAACTCCTGGGATAACACTAGCAGCTTCAGCGGAAAGGTATCCCCAAGCAGGGCACCCACCTGTCCTAAAGAGCTTCACCCTCAAGCAAACCTGTTCCATTAACCGTTACCAAAAGCACCCGACGTGCTCATCCCACCACATCCAGCCTCCGGGATCCTGCTGCCCGTCCCCTCGCTGTCTGCCTGGCAGGGCTTTGGAAATGCAGCGGGTGCCACCAACCTCTCTGGGTCCTGCCTGCACTGGGGAACCCCAACTCCTCCTCCTCCAAAGCACGGCATGCTCCCGAAAACACGAGTCAAGACCCCGCAACGCTTTCCTTGCCAGGAAAAACTCCACTGCTGGCCTCTCTAGGTGCTGTGAGAAAACTGCTGGGGTCCCATCAATCATCAACGCCTGAGCCTGTACAACACCGGTGGAGGTGCTCAGCGCCTTCGTTATCAGCAATGGCCATTTCTCACCCGCCTCTGCCTCATTTCCTTCCCTCCTCTCCTCCACTTCAACAGCAGGCACGGAGGATGGTGGGGTTTCATGGCTCATCCAGCTTTGGGATGTGTGGCGGACCAGGGCAGGGACCGGGAAGAGTCATCGGTTTCCCAGGGCTGGGAATGGGCCGACACCTTTTGGAAGCAAAGGAGACCACGTCGGCTCCTTCTCCTACGTCCACCCGCCCCATCCCCGGCAGTGCCCGAGGGACAGCTCACCGAGGCAGGGCTGGGCACGGGAAGGCGATGCGCTTGGCTGCGGGCAGGGCTGGCAGAGACGAGGCGGCAGCAGGGCTGCGGTGGCATTTCCCTACGGAGAGGTAGCGTGAGAGATGGGGGGGTGAGGGGGGCTGCCTGCTAGTAAAGGAGCGAGACGTGACCGAGGTACGTTTGTGGCTCCTCAGAAAGATGCCCGGTGCCAGGCTGTACACTGCTTTGGGGTTGTTTTGTG